GAGGTGAATGAAGGGAGAGACACGTGATTGGTACGCGGGATTGGGTCCGGGATTGTGTTGGACGCGCCCCGGCCGATCGTTTTGGCCGGTTGGGGCCGTGTATTGATTGGCGTGACGGAGGAGCGTCCACGAGAGCCGCCGTTCTGTGAATGAGGAGATAATAACGATGAGATAAAACGATACGGGATGATAAAGCGTAATGAACGACGGTACAGGAGGCGGCGGACGAGTGTAAAAAAAAACGAGGAATATTTTTTTTAAAACGGACATTACCTCTTCGTCTGGGAATCACACGTCAGCTGATGACACGAAAGCCCGAAATGAACTTCAATCCCAATCATGACAAAGAAAGACGTGCGATGCCTTTGGGAACGCGATTCGAACCCAATCAAAGAGAAATACAAATAGAGAAAAGAAAAAGGAATTTGAAGTCACTGGGGAAAAAAAAAGGAAAAAAAGCCAGTGGGAAAAAAAGGAGAAAAAACGAGTGCTTTTAACTTCAGTCAAATATTGTTTTTTTAGTTATTTGATCACATAATAATATTCAAAGCTTTGACTGAACGGTGATATGAATAAACATTGTGATGCGTTCTCCTGCTCTATTGCAAATGGAGTGATTTTAAAATAGTTATGGATCAGCTGATGGAGATTTACGCCTCGTCACGGATGAAAAAATATGCATTGAGGTTGAAAAATATGAGGATGGTGATTGAGGGGTGAGGATGAGGAGAGGAGGAGGAGGGGGAGGAGAATGAGGGGTGAGAGGAGGAGGATAAAAATGGTGATTGAGGGGTGAGGATGAGGAGGAGGAGGAGGGGGAGGTGAATGAGGATGGTGAATGAGGAGGAGGAGGAGGAGGAAAATGGTGATTGAGGGGTGAGGATGAGGATGAGGGGAGGGGGAGGAGGAGGGGAATGAAGATGGTGATTGAGGGATGATGGAGTGATGAGGGAGGAGGAGAGGAGGAAGATGGGGATTGGGAGGAGGAGGAGGAGGAGGAGGAGGAGGGAGGAGGAGGAGGGGAGGAGGAGGAGGAGGAGGAGGAGGAGGAGGGGAGGAGGAGAAGGAGGGGGAGGAGGAGGAGGAGGAGGAGGAGGGGGAGGAGGAGAAGGAGGGGGAGGGAGGAGGAGGAGGAGAGAGATGAGGATGGTGATGGTGAGGATGTTTATGATGAGGATAAGGATGATTAAGAGGAGGAGGAGGAGGAGGAGAATAATGATAATAATAATGATAATGATGATGATAGTAATTACAATCATAATTATAGTAATGAAATATTAGTGATAACAATAGTGATGATAATAATAATGATAAAAACAATGATAATAATAATGCGAATAGTAATAATGATGATGATAATAAAAAAAACGTGATATTACAATAATCCATCATTTAGTGATGACGATTCACTAAAAGCTTGTGGAATTTGGTACTGTTCCAATAATAAATGATATCTTGATTATATCAGATATTTTACACCAATTTCCCAACATTATAAAATACTCAGTGATGTAATAATGGCTGTGATACTGCTGTTGTGTTTAATGGAATTCATTATATTTTTTTTATCAAAAATGATATGTCTTTCTTTATTATCTTTGTTTTATTTGAAAGTAAAAGTGGCTGATACATTTTCCTATTTGTTGAATGCAATCGTGAACGTGTCTGTCTTCGTGTGGGGTTGTGCATGCGTGTGTGTGTGTGTGTGCGTGTGTGTGTGTGTGTGTGTGTGTGTGTGTGTGTCTATGGGTATGTATGTGTGCGTGCATGCGTGTGAGTTTACGTGTACATGTCCGTATGTGCGTGCATGCGTGTGAGTTTACGTGTACATGTCCGTATGTGCGTTTTGCATGTACGTACGTGAGTGTCTCGAAGAGCCAGCCATAAAATACGAACGCATCTATAAACCTTCAACCTTCCAAGGCATTCTCCTTATGCATGCCCTTTTTCTTTTTTATGCCTTTTTAACCCTTTTTTATGCCTTTTTTTACCCTTTTTATGCCTTTTTAACACTTTTCTATGCCGTTTTAAACGCCTTTTTTTTATGCCTTTTAAACCCTTTTTAATGCCTTTTAACCTTTTTATGCCTTTTAACTTTTTATTTTTAACCCTTTTTATGCCCTTTTTAAACCTTTTATGCCTTTTAACCCTTTTTATGCCCTTTTTAAAACCCTTTTTTTATTTTTATGTAACCCTTTTTAATGCCTTTTTAACCCTTTTTATGCCTTTTTTATGCCTTTTTAACCCTTTTTAATGCTTTTAACCCTTTTATGCCTTTTACCTTTTTTATGCCTTTTTAAAACCTTTTTATGCCTTTTTTTTTAAACCCCTTTTTATGCTTTGTTACCCCCTTTTTATGCCCTTTTTTTGCTTTTTTGCCTTTTTATGCTTTTTAACGTTTAACCCCTTTTTATTTATTAGCCTTTTTAATCTTTTTATGCCTTTTTTATGCTTTTAACACTTTTTTATCTTGTTCACCCTTTTTTATGCTTTTTAACCT